CAAAGGCCAACGCCTCAAGGGTCGACGACCTCAAGGGTAGATAACCTCAAGGCTCGGCACCTCAAGGGTAAATAACCTCAAGGCTTGACCACCTCAAGGGTAGATAACCTCAAGGCTCGACGCCTTAATGGTCGATATTTCAAGGGTCGACACCTCGAGGGTCGGCGTCCAGTGGTATTTATGCTTACACGGGTAAAATATACCCGTATATTCATAAATCGAGGGGAGTAGTAGTTGATATGGGATAAAGCCTCATGAATTGAGCCAACCGAGGCATGACCTGAACTAGGATCGAACCACACCAAGTGCCGACCTCACACCTAACTTCACGCTCGGGATCGAACACACTAGGTATCGATCCTTACAACACCCTTGAACTGGGGATAGATCCTTACAAGGTGAGGGTTGAAACCTGAAGTGAGAAACACATCATGGGCAAGAAGGTCGAAATCTCAAAGAACCATGCATCGAACACACAACATCAAGGACCACGGGGGTCAAACACCACGCTGGTTGAACACCACGTAGGTCGGGTCGAACAGCACACGGGTCGAACACCACGCAGGTCGAACACCACGCTGGTCGAACACCACGCAGGTCGAACAGCAAACGGGTCGAACACCACGCAGGTCGAACAGCAAACGGGTCGAACACCACGCAGGTCGAACACTACGCTGGTCGAACACCACGCAGGTCGAACAACACGAAGGTCGAGTTCCGACACCTCGAGCGCGGGGGTCAAGCTCCAACACCTTAAGCACTAAGGATGAGATCCGACGTGCAAGCTAAATCCACTGATACATAATCCGTACACGAAAAAAAAGACCGAGTATTTACGATTCTACGGGAATAATATCCGTACACTCGTAAATAGGGGGAGTAGTTGATAGGGATTATAATACCGACTCGGCCTAACCGGACAAAGACCCGTGAGATGGAGGACAAGAAAGCCTACTTGCCTACTCGGTCATTAGACTTTACCTACTGGTCCAATGGTCTATTGGTCCACTGGTCTACTGGTCTAAGGGTCTACTGGTCTAATGGTCTATTGGTCCACTGGTCTACTGGTCTATTGGTCCACTGGTCTACTGGTCTAAGGGTCTGCTGGTCCAATGGTCTACTGGTCTAATGGTCTATTGGTCCACCGGTCTACTGGTCTAGTGTTTTAATGGCCTAAATGTATAATGGTCGAACATTGGCGAAGCACGATCGACCCTTGGTCGATATGTTCGATCCACAATAATGGTCGAACACGGGAGCGGGCCGATGGAGGCTCAACCGACTCAAGTGGTCGAGCAGGTCGAGTCCAGGGGCAGTCACGCAGTAAAGGGCG